CGCTCAGAGTGCTCAGGGAGGTCCTGTAGCTCTCAAATCGACGACGGTGATCGACGGTTGCCGGCGAGGAAGACGATGATGCTTACGACGATGAAGTGCGCCCGGGCTTATGATCTTTAGCGTGCAGAAGAGGAAGAGCTTCTCTCAGTGGCTGGACACCGCACGGGGCCTAGGGTGCGCGGTGGCTACGGCGGCGAGCAACGACGCTCTCCGGTGCGCTCCGTGGTGCCAGGAAGAGAGGGCAGAGGAGGGGAGAGGTCGCGGGTGTGTGTGTGAGAGAGAGAGAGGTCAGGGGGTGTGTGGCGTCGTCTAGAGCCGTCCAGAGCGAGCAGGCAGGCTGGAGGTGGCCTCGCGCGTGTGTGCGCGCCGGTGGCACACGCCCTCCTGCCTACTGGCAGGAGGCTGAAGACAGTAGGAGGGGAGGAGCCGGGCTGGCCGGTTGCTGGGCTGCCAGGTGGGGTGCACAGGTAAGGCGAGGTGGGTTTTCTTCTTTCTCTTTTCTATTTCTTTTTGCTCTGTTTTGATTTAGTAATAATAGTAAACCATTTCATAAAACGCTAGAAATAATTATGGGTGCTTTCTGAATTATTCCAGTGACCCTTAACAATTTCCAACATTTTTGGAGCATCTAAAATATATATAGCATTTAAATAGCTCCAAATCAAATATGTTTGAATTAATTCAAAGTCCAAATATGTCCTGCAAAAATTTGAACCATTTTTGGTAGATGCTTCCACCTTGATCAGAAATGATGAACATTTTTAAAGGGCATTTTGAAATCATTGAAAAATATTTTGCTTGGACCTATTTGAATTCCTTTGATGCTAGGGTTTGAACATCCCCATTTCAAATTGCCATGAAAGTTAAACATGATGCAGACAAGATGCAAACACTAGGCAACACTAGAATCTAGGGATGTGACACTAGGGCATATTTCCATCAGGTACATGGGCTAGTGGCCCATTTACATTGTGCGTAGACGGGGCCGGATGTCCGGGGTCGAGTCCGGATGTTCGGGTTGGCTCTGGCTTTCGGTGTTGTAGGGTTGGGCCAGATTTCCAGGATGGGGTCGGATGTCTGGTGCATGTAGGTGCTCGGCATCTGGACTGCTGCTGGGGTTGAAGTCTCCAGGGGCCGGATGTCCGGGTCCTGTAGCATCTTGATGGTTCTCCTTGTTGAGTCTCGATGTCCTTGCACTTGTGGACTTGTCCCCATCAGCATGAGGATCTCCGAGAGGGTATTATTGGTACCTAAGCACAGATAGCATTCCGGATTGAGGTACTAGCCATGTCTCATGTGGGCCATACGGAATGTCACTAAGGAGAGATGTCACCTCGGTCTCAAGAACTCTTGCACGTGCATGTGTCATTGGTCCACTTGGCACTTGGGGGGACGTAGCTAGGTCCATGGGGATGACAGCAGGATGCTCCGCATCACCAGTGTAGGAATGCATGAGAGGAGGATGAGAGGAGGAATAGAAGGTATGTAGGAGATCAAGGGGTGTCATTAAAACATATCACACATATACATATGTACAGTTCATGAGGAAGATTTAGATCTACTTGTCTACGATTGTCGAAATAGAAAATATGCAACACAAAAGTCTTGCGAAACTGTGAGATGAAGCTACCGGTCAAAGGAAATTTCAAACAGTCAACCATGCACTACGAATGAAAAAATTCATCCAAAATAGCTCCAAACAGGAACACGAAATTAAGCATTTAGGGTCGACAAAACTACGAACCAATGCCTGAATGGAACCATAACATTGATGTGCATCTTTTTCGTGTAGAGCTTATCTCAAATCGAAGCATTGTTGTGTAGAGTAGAAGGGATGAAGAAGAAAGGAGATTTGAGAGGATCTTAGTGGAGGTAGGAGAAGATAACACGCATAGGCTATATACTAGCTAGCATCGCACTGGCATACTCTCGTGCCAGGGAAGCCATCATGTGCGCTCGATGTGGCTCAACTCAACTTGACTGGCTGAAAAAACCACCAATTCACAGTTCCTAGCAGGCCTGGCTGGAAACTACTTTAAGTTTCGTGTGATGCAGGCCCAATAGTGAACGTAGGAAACCAAATAACATATTTTCTTCCCGTGCAGGCCTGGTTGACCTCTCTATGTGGGTTACCAAACACGTACTCAGTGATTCACTAACTCGCTATGTAGCTAATTTTGGTAGAAAAAGTAAGCGCGTCGTTGTGTGCCTTCGGTCGCGACCTGATGGTTCCTGAACTCTACATTGTAGAACTTCCATAGGTCATATCCAACGTTGACCCACAAAACAAACACCGCATCCGTCCACAGACAAAGGGAGAGCAGTGCGTGGACATGGATACGGGAGCCGGCCATCCAATATTATCCGCATACATTTCAAATAAGAATTAAAATAACAAGATAAAATTCATGCAAACATGTCGGATTTCATTCAGCCGTTTGAACTGAAAACTAAAAAACAAATATATCTTGTACCGGACCACCACTTTGTGCGCGTGGCCACCCTGCTCGACCGCACAACCGTTGCCATATGTTTCGTCGTCATCATCGCAGCAACGCCAGGGCCTCGGTTGCCCATGGCAGCCTTGTCCGGTCGCAGCCTGGTGTTCGCAAAGGAGTCGTCGCGGTTGCCCGGGAGCGGGGGCTCCTCCTTCACTCACGGGAGAGGGGATGCGCGCTTCGGCTTCACGCGATAGCGTGGCAGGGACGGTGGCTCCTCCTTGACCGCACACGGCGGCGAGGGTGGCGTCGGGCCCATATGACGGAAGGATCGCTCCGTCATGATCTTCAACCAGTGGAAGAATTCTTCTTTGTCCGGCACAGTGGCCTCCAAAAGGAGGCGGGGCTGTCGCTACAGATGTTGCGGCCACGCTTGATCCTCCTTGTCACTAGTGGAGATGACAATCTCCTCCTTGCTGGAGGTGCCGCCCGCCGTGGATGCTGAGGGGCCCGGAGAGCGACGGTGTTGACAGCATGATCCGCCTGACGAAAAACTGCCGCTGGCTTCGCCCACCGACACGATGAACCAGGAGTTCGACATCGCCCTAGTTGGATTGAAAGCGGTGAGAAGGAAGAACTTGGGGAGGATGAGGGGCTTGGAGTTGGATTGAAAGTAGTGTGGATATGTGCATTGCCGGTGCACGACTTAAATAGCAGCGGCTAGGCAATGCGAAAGGCCGGTCAGCCCCATTCAATGCGGGGTAGCGGCCGAAGTTGGGATTTTGGGACGCAGCGTCTATATTGAAACGGCAACGCCTGAGAGGTCGCATCTGTTAGTGCCGCCCTCGCGTCTGGTCACGTCATTCGGCATCAATGCCGGCCACTTCATGCTCTGAACTGGCATGAATGCGACGCGACAAGCGGCACGGGCGTTGGATAAAAAGTGCGCGAGAGATGGGAGTTTTTTGTGAGTGGGCCAGTGCAGTCAGAAACGAGCATGACAGCGGTCCGGACACCCGCAACCCCCAATTTGTCTCGGGTTTACGTGAAAAATGTGTCTGGGCCGATTGTCGAACCGCTAGAGGACCGTATTGAATGGCAAAACACATCTAAACCGCGCAGTTCGAACGGTTGCATGCGGTTCAAGGATCCGCGTCAAAGATGCCCTTATTCCCCAAAAAAGATGAAACAGACTCCACACGACACAACCACGTCGCCAAAGCCCAAATAGCTAAGAGCATCTACAATCCGATACAGCAAATCCGACCCCTCAACCTCCCGTGGATGCATCTAGGTGCGTTAGCAGACAGTGACAAGTCACGCCCTCAAATAATCTCTTCCACAATCAGATAACTCATTTGCAGATTGTCAAATTCATGTTATACATGCAAGTAAAACCTAATCCAGAGATTAGCCCGTCCAGCTCCGCCATCCGGTCGCCGGCGAGGCAGAGTAGGACATGGGACACGAAATGGTTCACGGGAGTCGAGGCCCTGTCGTATCCCATACCCCACTCTTTCTCGCCGGAGTCTATAATCTTGACGGTGCCGATGGACATGAGATCGATGATGGATCTGTTCTAGGAGGAGCCGGCGATGTCCACCACGACGCGGTTGTGATGCCCGGACTGATGCACCATGTGGAGTGCCGAAGAATGCAACTCCGCCTCGCCAACGTCCACCGCCGTGAGGGTTGCCGCCGTACCACGCGCCTGCTGCCTCGCATAGCGGACACGCCGCGCCATGTTTGCGTCGGACGACGCCTATGCGTTCAAACCCATCTCGACGTGCCAACAGAGGGTTTGCGCACCCGTCACCGCGTTCGGACGCCAGACGGACCGCATCGCCTCCGGTGAGGGAGCGGCGACAAGGCGTATCCATGCGCAATTTGGGCAGACGCAATACATTTTCGACGGAAGGAGTCCGAGGGTTGTCGTCGGGTGGCCTCCTCCTGGGTGTTGTGGAGTGCAAGCCGGACGGTTATCTTCTCCTCGGGACCGTGTAAGCTGAGCTTGGGGTCGACGAATCTACAGGTGTAGGACTCAGATCTGCTGCCCGCCATGTCAGAGAAGGCCGAAGATCACTGGACAAAATTTTGGGTAGCGAAGTGAAGTGAAAGGGAGTGAAGCGGTTAAGATTTGATCTGCGGAGCAGATGAGGACAAATACGACTGGACCATCCTATATCTAACTCATATTTGAACTGAATATATGATAGGTGCCGGTCAGTTTGGCTGTTTGAGTTTGGTTTAAGGCCCCGTCTGGGTTGGATTTTTTTTCCTGGCCGGTGTGTGACCGTGCGTTGTAGATGCTCTTACATCAGAATGCGAGTGGTGACGCCGGAAAAAAAATGCATGCGAACGGTGACGTGCGTGTCCTGCAGTAAGGCCGGCCACGCAGGCGGCAGCCTTCTGACACGTATGCCACACGTGTCGCATCCTATGGTACAAGCTGCCCTATTAAATCATCAACCGCACTACGTGCGAAACAGCAAGGAAAGCAAGCGGCACAAGCCAAGCTCAGGCAAGCAGGCGGCACCTCAGCTAGCCAACAGCAACCAACAGATGGCCTCCTCCGGCTACCTCAGAGCGGCCAGCGGCGCCACTCGCAGCCGCCAGACGCTCCTCCTCCGGCAGCGCCCCGCTGCTCCGGCCACAAGCGCGACACCGAGCGCGCTCGTCGCTTCCTCAGCGACGCGGCACGCGTCGACAGTCCCCAACCCGCCGCCCGGGGCGGAACCTTTGCCAGAGGACGCGCCGCGGCAGACACCGCCGAGGCTCGGGGAGCCGGACCCCGTGGGACCTCCCACGCCGACGCCCAAGGAGAAGATAACCGGCACACCGCCGTCGGAGGAGGATGACGGTGGGCTACCCGGCGGAATGCCGGACACGACCCCGCCACCGGACGTGCCGTTACCCCCTGCCTCGCCCGATGGTAGCACCGTCTAGCTCGTTCGGTCCGTCTGTGCGTGCTTGCTGCGTAGCTTTTTTTGTTCTTTTGGATCACTTGATGCGTAGCTTTTGCATACGGTGTCAGTGTGTACATACATGTTGCAGTGGAGTACGTTCTACCTTTTTCACTACGGAGCACCGACGTGTACTGTTTGTATTCTCTCGAGTCACGAGCATGCAGCTTGGTGCGCGCATGGTGTTAGGCTTTACCTTCTCATAAATCAATGCACACTAAGTCAAACTTTCCTCTATCAAAGATTGGGAAGAAAAAAATTAAGCGTAGAGCATCTACAGCCGCAGAGAACAAATATGACCCCTCAAACGCACGATGACCGGGCATTCTTCAAATAACCTCACTCACATATGTGTATCTAATGTTCGATTCCTTAAATCTATATTAAATCATGCAACGTAAATCAAAGTACGTACATCAGCAAATGGACACAAGCAAACATAATACTTCCACCAAAAGATTGGATGTTCAAACGACCACCAAACTTCAAACGACGGACAATTTGAAACTACATCTAAAACTTGAAATTAAACATAATAAATTCTATTTTTTAGATATTCATGACAATGTAACAAACGTTCTTGACAATTTTGATGTGAAACAGAATAGCAACGCTTCGTTGGTTAAAAAGGCAAAATTAAGCGCAATAAAAAGGCAAAATTAAGCACAACAATTGAAGGTAACATTTGATGTTTGATTTTTTTTAACAAATCAAAATGCTTAAGCTTTTTCCTTCAAATTTACAGATAATATTTGAGTGTGACAATGAACATATATATTCTAAAGAAATAAAATAATTTGCAAAATATATTTTTGGCAAGCAGTGGCATATGGTCCCTATAGCCAAATTACATTTTCGTCAACCTCGTAAGACCTAACTACGTGGTAGTTCTCTTTTTTCAACCCAAAGAAAGAAAAGCGATTTCGCTAGCTGCCGTCAGGAGAGTTCCTTCGTGACCGTTGATGAGGACATCACAATCATCGACAAGTCTTCAATAATTACAGGTCCAATCACAACAAGTCGTGCCAAATTAATAAGTGACCAGGTGAACACTAACTTAAGTTTATCTTGTAACCTTAATGACACAACTATGATTTCATTTTCATTGTTGTTGGTTGAACTTAGGTATCACATAGAATAAACCCAACAACCTATGAGCTTTTGAAACAGCCGGTTTGGAGGAACAAGTTTGGAGGAAACAAGTTTCAAGTGAAGCTGATGTTGTCAGTTTTTACCTCTAATATTTTGGTGTGCCACACACATGTGGTGGAGAGACGGGGCCATAAGGGTACATCAATAGAAGCTACATCAAATTATCTTTCCAACGCAAAAAAACCTCACATCATTTGGAGTTGCGAGTCAAAAGTTGTAGTCATTCTCGTGAAAGGTGTCCAAACTGTCAAGGCTTCGCGAATTTCCGAGGAGCTCTCAAACAACTCCCAAAATTGACTGCTTATGCCCCCAAGGAGCCATGCAAACCTGTTTATTTTTGGAACCATTTTCACACCTAGCCAAGGAGGGTTGTCGCTGCTATTAAACCCCATCTCCCCATCCTCTAGAAGAACCTTTTGTCAAACCATTCAGCTACAAGCTTATGCAGCAAGACTGTTAGAGAGATCCAAGAGATCTTGCTACCTTTTGCTTTTGTAAGTTCATTCGGATTCGCGAGAAGGAGCCTCTGGTCCCCCTAGTTCGTGCTCTACGGTTCCGGCCGTTTTGTGTGGATTAGTCCCGGTTTGTGATTCTGCGATTGTTCGGACAACGGGTTAGAGTTTTTGTAGCTTCGGCCAGCCTTCGCCAACGTACGGGTTGCATCCAACCTTGGCAGGTATAAAGTTAGTTATCCCGGCTGCTTGCAGCTAGTTATCCCTCCCGATTCGATCCTATGATGTGAAGATCGGGCCACCCTCGGGCGTGAACTCGTTCATCGGGTTCCCACCTATCATCTGGCATCACAGCCTTCGTTGACACGATAGGATCTGTTATCCAAGTTTATCTTGCTATCATCCCTTTAGATCAAGTGTTTTCATGCTATATTTTCTGTCCTAGAAGTTCAAAGCCCCACCAAAAATAAAGCCAAGCTTTGTTGGTGCTGAGATCTTATTGTTGCATACCTTGCATGTTCTTCATCTTTCAGATTTGCACCAAGTTCATCTTCATAATTGTTTTCAGATTTGGTTGTTGTGCTTTGGAAAAAGAGAAAAAAAAGAGTGGCAAAAAATCAAAGAGAGAAAAAAAGAGTGGAAAAAAAGTCAAGAGAGAAAAAGAAAGTGTTGTGTAAGATCCAAAAGTTTGAGCTTCGTAGAAAAATTTCAGAAGCTTGTGTGTTGTGTTTTTCAATCTTGGTGCAAAGGTGGAGCAGATCCATCCACATGTTTTTCTTGGTTTGCATCAATTTGATATCAGCACGAGCCCCTTTTTGTTTACCCCACCGAGCTCCACCAAAAAACGAAGCTAGTTCTTTGATCTCTGTCTTTCAATCGCTTTAACACATCCGGAAGAAGCACAATCTGATGTGAACTCATAAGAACTTTGGTGAGTAAGAGGTGAGGTTGTGTGATTCCATAAAATTATCCTATTCCAATTTTGGCCTTACTAACATGGCAGGATCTAGATCGAGTGTTCATGGAGAAAATCATGGGGAAGAAGATGCCCCGGTCACACGTGTTAATTTTCAGTAATTACGGAACATGGTTCAAGACCTTGAAAGGATTTTTCATGAGCGGCCTCCGGCAGGTGGTGATAGGGTTCGACACCAACAACACCCTATTGACCCACTTGAGGAAGTTGGGGATGAGAATTCCGTGCATGCTACTGTTGACGGTGCCTTGGAGGAGGATAACAACAGCTATGGTGCACATGTGGCTGCTGCTCGTGGGCGCGATGCTGCTGCTCATGGAGGGCAGCGAGGAGCACAACTTCGAGGGCGAGGCCATGGTCCTCGTGGGCACCATTATGACCCTCATGAGCGTGTTGCTCGTGGTCATGGAGATGATTTTGATGATTATGATGGTGTCCCATACCGCCGTGCTGCTGAAGATGGGCGTCATGCAGAACGTCATGATCGAGATGGTCGAGATGACATGGCAAGAATCAAGTTGCACGTCCCCAAGTTCACAGGAAAGGAAGACCCCGATGCATATTTTGATTGAGAAGAGCAGTGTGATCAGATTTTTCGTATACATAACCTTGCTGATCTGAAGAGAGTAAACCTTGCTTGTATTGAGTTTTCTGATTATGCACTCACTTGGTGGAACCAACTCCAAGAAAATCAATTGCTACTAGGTCGTGATCACATTGACACTTGGGAACACATGAAACAAGCCATGAGGCGAAGGTTTGTTCCTTCACAATATCAAAGAGATCTCCGAAACAGATTGCAGCGTCTCAGCCAAGGTACGAGCACGGTGGACGAGTACTATAAAGAGATGGAATTACAAATCGTTCGTTCTCGTATTCATGAAGATGAGGAGTCAAAGATGGCAAGATTTCTGCATGGTCTCAACACTGAAATTTCTGATTTTGTGGAGATGTTTCCCTATAATACTCTACAAGATATTCTAGAGCAAGCAAAGCGCACGGAGAGGAAGGTGCAGCGGAGTGGTCATGGACGGATATCTCATAGCCGCACCACCACACCATGGCAAAGGTCGCAGCCAAGTGCCTCTCATGGTGGTTCTCAGTTTCAGCACACTTCACACCCTACCGCCACCCGGCAAACAGCGGCTTCATCGGCATCATCACCGGCTCCTAGGAATGTTGACAAGCATGCTCCTTCTGCTGCTAGAAGTACTTCTAACCCCACGGCTGTACCATCATCTCGAAGCCGAGATATTGAGTGTTGGAAGTGCAAAGGGCATGGTCACATTTCTTCTGAATGTCAAAACAAGAGAGTTCTCTTTGTGAATGAACAAGGTGAATGGGAATCTAAGAGTGAGCATGAAGATAATGGAGCATCAAATGATCATGAGGATGAAGAGGGCGAGAAGAGTGGTTGTGATATTCAGGACGACATGGGAGATTGCTTTGTTTCCCATCGTGTTCTTAGTGTTAATGCGGCTAGAGAAGAGAAAGGGCAGCAACATAATATTTTTCACACCCGTGACACCATCAAGGACAAGGTTTGCAGAATTATTGTTGACAATGGCAGCTGCAACAACATTGCAAGTTCAGATTTAATAGAAAAATTGGGACTGAAACAAAGAAGGCACCCAAGTCCATATAAGATGCAATGACTCAATGATTGTGGTACACTTCGAGTAAGCAACATAGTCACCATTCAGTTTTCCATTGGGAAGTACCGAGATCAAGTGGAATATGATGTGGTGCCAATGCAAGCGTGCCAATTGTTGTTGGGAAGACCTTGGTTGTATGATCGTGATGTGCAAATCAGCGGCCATACTAATCGTCTCTCGTTCCAATACGAGGGAGAGCGCATATCCTTGCTCCCTTTGACACCCGAAGAAATATTGATGGATGGTCTGAAAAGGAAGGAGAGAGTGAGTGAGAAACACTTGAGTGACATCCACCAACATAGTGAGCGAGAGAATCCAAAGCCAAATAAAATCCCATAGCTTAAATTGACCAAGACATGGGCAAAACAGGGATTAGTTATGATGGCTAGGAAAAAGGATATGAGAGAGTTGAGAGAATCCAATTCGGTGTTCTTTGTACTTTTGTACAAGGACAATTTCCTTTCTACTAATGAATTATCCTCTACCACTCCTAGCATTGTTGCTGAAATTTTGCAGGGGTATGAAGATGTGTTCTCCGAGGAGATACCATCGGGGCTGCCACCACAAAGAGGCATTGAGCACCAAATTGATTTGGTCCCAAGAGCCCCATTGCCGAACCGACCACCATACCGCACAAACCTGGAGGAAACCAAGGAGATTCAGCAACAAGTTGCAGGGCTACTAAACAAAGGTTATGTAAGGGAAAGTCTCTCACCTTGTGTTGTGCCCGTTATTTTAGTACCCAAGA